CTTTCCCAGCATTAGGCTCTTCTCCAGTGAGCCCTTCCTTCTCATTAGGTGGCCAAAGTACTTGAGTTTCAACTTCAGGATCTGGCCTTCTAAAGAGCCGTCGGGGTTGGTCTCTTCTAGGACTGACCAGTTTGAATGTCTTGCATCTATCTATCTATCTATCTATCTATCTATCTATCTATCTATCTATCTATCTATCTATCTATCTATCTATCTATCTATCTATCTATCTATCTATCTATCTATCTATCCAAATTTCTTTTTCTGAAAAAAAATTGGATTTGTAATGTGTGTGTGTGTGTGTGTATATATATATATATATATATATATATATATATATATACACACACACACACACACACACACACACACACACACACACACACACATGCTTGTTGATGTCTTTGGTTATTAAATCCACTTAAAATAAAATGTGGATTCTTTTCTGGCCTTGGAAAAAGAAGAACTAGCTCATTCCTTCAATTTGTCCAGTCTCCATTCTCGTACTACTAGGTAAGCTACTAAGGCTGAATGTATCAATAGAGGCCTGCTGAGTTTAGAGAACAAAGAATAGAGTACTCTTCCTCTTTGCTCTCAGGAACTAATACAAAAGCCACCCCAGTATATTCAGCAAATGTAGTTCCTTTCAGTTTTTCATTCATTTGGTTTCCGATTAGCAGTTTTTGTGACTGTCTTCTACACTAGAAAGGTTTCTTTTGCTCTTACAAAGCAATAAAATTTCCATCATTACAGTTAGGCAGGATGGGAAGAAAGGATGGATTTAATCTGACTAGCACGTGGTTTACCTCCACGACATCTAAAATGTTAGAGGAAAATTATGAATTTAAATAAATTATGGGAGATTCACTCCCTACATTTGTTTTGTCAAGGAGGAGAAACATTTTAAATCTAAGTCCACATGATTGTAGTGCCCAGCTGCTATTACCAATATATGAAGTTACGTACTGCTTTAGTATGGAATACAAAGTTGACCAAATCAATAAAAAATAAACCTCCTGAGTCAATGGTCAGTCTCACTCAGACACTGGGCACCATGGAGAATTTTGGACAGGTTATGTGAAAATGATCTTCCTGCTGACAAAATGTACAGTAGGATTTACATGGAAAATATAATTTTTAAGGGGAAAAAGCAGCTATGTATTAACATCCTGGAAGTCATTTCAAGCTCAACATTCTGGAAAAAGAAAATATTCTGCTTGGCTGCAATACTATTTGTAAGGGTTATCCCTCTTCTATTGTTCAACCATAGTTTCACAAATACTCTTATGGAGAACTGGTTATAAACCTTTTTTGCTGAGGACTTTCCAACATTAGCTTGACTCCTTAGTCCTACTTGGGTATTTTTCATACAATAAATGATAACAGGAGGAGGAAACATAGGCCAGGTCTTCTGCAAGGCTTTATCCACACATCTCTGTGATCTACAAGTAGGGCCTAGTGAATCTTCAGTGAGTTCCAGGTCTGCTGCACTATGGCTGCATAATAGTTCCATGTATTTTATTCGCTCATTATTTTGACATTATTGTTCCAACCTTTCTTGCTGTTCCAGGGTGTTCTTCCAGAGTGACAATGAGCAGGTCTGATTGATGTAACTGTTGAGTAGACTTGCTGGCATTTGGGTTTGTAGGCTTACTAATCTCGAAAAGCAGTTGTACTGGTAGTTGTATTTAATTCATTGAGGGGCTTCCAAGTCACAGATATAAATGAATTGACAATGAATGTTCCAGTTAGAAACAACGTGTTCTCTGGCAGAATGCTTTGTTTTGCTTTTCTATGAGGTTGGTATCACTGATGAGACATGTTGCTCATAACCTTATAAAAGTTTGGAAAATCTAAGAACATTTTTAGTTGTAAGAGTAATCCATTACAACCCAAATCCTGAGGTACTGTTGGCTGACAGATTTAATGATCTCTGATTTGTGGTTTGGCTCATTGGAAAATGTTAGACTTGTAACCAAGTGTTATCATCTGGAATACAAGATAATTAAAACAGAAACCACAGTGTGAAACCTATAGTATCTTAGGTTAAAATGGTATGTCCCAATGACAAAAAGAAAAAATGTCAAAAAATACAGAGCTCACCAAGACTTCTGGTCCAAATGTCCGGGGAAGCAGCTGATCTTCAGGATTTTGATAAAGGCTAACATCCAGATTCCCAGGGGGATGCTATTCCATAGGGCAGATGCTACTATATCTGGATGTAATATTTTGTTACTATCCTCTGTTGACTGCCTCTTCTTTGTAGCAGTCCCTTAGATATTGAAACCCTGCTATCATGTCACCACCTAGTCCTTCATTAGACTAGACATACCCAATCCCTGCAACTGTTCTTCACATGTTTTAGCCTCCAGTCCCCTCATCATCTTTGTAGCTCTTCTCTGCACTCTTTCTAGAATCCTAACATCTTCTTTATATTGTGACAATCAAAATTGGATGCAATATTCCAAGTATGGTCTTACCAAGGCATTATAAAACAGACGCTGAGCTTGTCAGCTGGAAAGCTGACAGTTTGGGTTTGAGACCTGAGCGCCACACAACAGAGTGTGTTCCCATACCTTGCCCTAGATCCTGCCCACCTAACAGTTCGAAAGCATGCAAATGTGAGTAGATTAATAGGTACCACTTTGGTGGGAAGGTAACAGCATTCTGTGTGCTTTGGTGTATAACCATGATTTGCACATGACCATGGAAAAAATCTTTGGACAATGCTGGCTAATTTACCAACAAACAGAGATGTGGACTGTGCCCTAGAGTCAGACATGACTGGATAGGGAAACTTTATCTTTTACTTTTACTAACACTTCACATGATCTTGAGTCTATCCCCTTGTTAATGCAGCCTAGGACTGCATTGGTTTTTTTGGTGACTGCAGCACACTGCTGGCTCATATTTAAGTGGTTGTTCATTAGGACTCCTAGATCTCTCTTACAGTTACTGCTACTGGGTAGCAGTATTCTGTACCTGGGTATATTTATTCTATACCTGTGCATTTGTTTTTTTCTTGCCTAAGGTTAAAACCTTATTTTTCTTACAATTGAATTTCATTTTGTTGAATGAGGCCCAGGGTTCACATCTGTTAAGATCCTTCTGGATCTTGAACCTTTCTTCTGGAGTGTTGGCTATTCTCCTCAGCTGGTGTCATTTGCAAATTTGATGAGTTCCCCTTCTATCCTGTCATCTAAACCATTTATGAAGATGTTGAAGAGTACTGGCCTAAGACAGAACCTTGAGGTATCCCACTGCATACTTTCCTCCCTGTAGGTGTAGTTTCATTAATGACTATATGTTGAGTGCTGTTAGTCAACCAGTTACAAATACATCTAGTAGTGATGCTGTCTAATCCACATTTTTCTATCTTACAAAGTAACAGGTTGTGGTCTACCTTTTCAAATGCCTTACTGAAGTCCAAGTAAATTATGTCCACAGCATTTCCCTGGTCCACTAATTTAGTCACTATAATTTAGTCACTACATTTCATCGATACAATAAGATTTATCTGGCATGATCTCTTTTTGACATACTCATGTTGGCTTCTGGCTATAACTTTGCTTGCCTCTATGTGTTCTCAGATTCATTGCTTGATTATCATTTCCAGAATTTTCCTAGGTATTGATGTCAGGCTGTTTGGTCTGTAGCTTCCTGGATCCATTTTGAAGATGGGTACCACATCAGCTGTTTTCCAGTATCTTTGAAAGATATGGTTCAGTGGTTAATGTACTTTTGCTCCATCCCACCAACTAGAAAGAAAATGCACACATGTGTATTTGTATTTCTTTCTCTTGTTTAAAAGTAATGTATTACCACTTTGAGCACTTCCAGACAAGGACTCTCAGAACCTGCTCAGGACTACGCAATCACATTCATTTTGGCTGATCCTGAGAGTTGAGTCAATTTTTGTTTCTTTTTAGCTCTCCTGAAGCTTATTTGAAACTGGTGCAAAACTGGTGTCTTCTTTGTAATGCTGTGCTCCTGCGAAGTTTCTGGTCGATCTATTTTTCCATTACAGGTAACTCATGACTCACTTTACTCCTCCTCCCCACCAACTGGCACGCCATAATTTCACCTTCAGAGGTTTTAAATGCAACAGAGAATTGATGGTTTGGATATTTACAAATATTTTTTCCTTGCATAGGTTTCCATCATACCAACATCAGTGCATCATGCAGAAGGGAGTGTAGCAATTTGTTTTTCTTCCCTTCTTGCCTGGAGTGAGGATGAGGTGATGTTTGTTACTCCAGGAATTTGTGGCTGAAAGGACCAAGGGAACTGACACCACATGACAGACCCAATTATCTAATGTTGTATGCTGACACACACAAAGATGACTTTATTGACAAGTGGAGGAGATGCCAGAATTATTTATGTTATTAGAACATCATTCAGTGAAAAGCTTCTGTATGCAGTTCAGTGGCTCACTACACAGGACTTCCAATAGATCACAAGGGTTCCTGACAACCTATTAAAACTTGACAGTCTAAGCTGGCTTTCATTTCTTTATGTGATGTCAATGTGTAACTAGATCCAACTGGTTATGTAGCACTGTAATTCCATGCCTTTAACTGTTTGATCCCAATTAGCTATTTGTAAATAATTATATGTGTTGTAGCATGTTACATAGTACATTGGCACATGGTGCTAATCCACTTTTCCCTCAAATTGGCTTAAAGACCATTAACAGTTAGAATTTATGTGAACCTTGAACACAAATCTATCACTGTAAGAACTGGAAGCTGTTTTTTTTTATTAACATGCCAACACAGGACACTTTTTGATATGTATTGTAGCTATTACTTTCATACATACTATGATCAGTTGTTAACCGTTTGTCTGAAAAAAGAATGCAACATTCAGTCCAACAGTCAAGTTAGATAATCTTTGAATGGTCAGAATCTTATTTTTAAAACCAAGGTATTTGGTTTTAAATTCTGGCAATGCAAAAAAAGGCGCGATACACGACATGTCACGTGACGCGGCACGTTTGACACCTGTGATCTATTGGATCAATCCCCCATCTGCTGCATTCCCTTATGAAGTGCTCAGAATTGGCTCTTATAAATTAAAGTAGGATAAGTATTTTCTCTATTGAATAAGCTATTTTTATAAGAAAGAGAGAGAGAAAAAGAGAAAGATACCATCTTAGTTCTGGGCAAGCCAACAGAGCTTTAAATTGTATTTTCTTCCTTTCCCCTAACCTACACAGCTTTGTAAATCTCCTGCCTGCAGAATTATTTCATGTGGGGGAGGGAGATGCCACATGTGAGTGATTTCCTATATATCTGCTAAAATATAGTGAGAAGCTCAGGGTCAAATGAGGAGCACCACTAATATGTGTGACAATATTGAGCACCATAGCCCTGTCCCAGCTCCTGCAGAGATTCTGGAAGGGGAAACCATTATCCTATGGACTTCCCTGGTATTGTGTTAAAGGACATGATCACAATAGCACTTCCCTCCCCCATGTGAAGAGACAAACAAGCTTTGCTCCTTTCGGTGGAATTTTTTTTTTCTTTTTGTCCACTTCCCATTTTATTTTTCCCAACAGTGGAAACTTAACTTCAGTAAACATTGCTATTAGAAGTCATAAAATGTGGCCTTGAAGTTGTTATCCAGTGTTCACCATGTACTTTTTTTTTTCTTTCCAACAACTTTATCATCTTAAACAATATGCTTCCCAGCCTCCACTACTTGGTCGGATACAGATCTGTGGGAAGGAGAAAAGAATAGCATTATTAAAGTATTCAATTCATGGGGAAGGAGAAATGAAATTAATAATTAAAAAATCTCTGTCATTAAAATTTATCCTACCCCATTATTGTGAGGTAAAAACATCCAAAGCATCTGTAATCGTGTCAGAGCACAGCTATGGGTCATATATTCTTGAAAGCTAATGTTATTTTCCTCATGACTGCTGGGTCAAAGAGACCTGGACAAATATGTTTATTAAAAAATTCTCAGATCCCAATTTTCATCATAAATTATTTTTCTAAGCAGCCCTTTATTCTGAGGTATTTATTATAAGCACTAAGAAGCTTTGGGGAAAGAAGATACAATGTATCAAAAAATTCAGCAAAGCTTGTGAAAATAATTGTAAACACTCACTCATACAGATAATCATGTACAAGTACATACACAGGCACACACTGAAGTCAATATCATCAAACAGGTTGGGACAAACTCAATTTGTTGAGTTGCGCTCAGCAGGCTTGTCATTAATAATTTATTAGAACTGATTTCCTTTTCCTTTGTCCACTTTGTTTAGTAAATCAGTTTCTAAAAGCAGGAGCCTGGTAGTTATGAAGACCAAAATGTATCTCCAACAGGTCAGGCATTTCACAGTGATGGCCTACGTATAGTAGTATAGAGTTAACTGCAGCCCAGAAGATTCTAGTGAAGATTCTGAGGCTGACCTAAAGCCTTGGAATTATTGCAATGAAAATATATGCTAATGAGGGCATAAGATATTTTGGCTCATACCCTTCCATGTATAGAATTATGTCCAGTATTGCATACTGGAATGCCATGAATATGCATTTGGCTTCCTCAAACAAGATTAATTGACTGAGAAGAAGAATGACTATTTCACAGCAGTACAGTGCATCTGTGTGAAAGCTTGATATGTGTATATAAAAAAAGAATGAGTAAGAAATGCTACTTCCACCACCTTCTGTTTCAAACAAACATCTTAACTATTGCTTGTCTTTTGTTATAAAAGAGGATGTACCTAATTAACCGCATATGCTTAATATGTTATATTTATATTTGCAAAGAGATGCTAGGTTAATTTGAACTGGGTGTCAGTCTAAACATGAGAATGTTCACCATCAAGGAAAAGCTGCTGGAATAGATAAAGCAAAGCAATGAAATTTGTAGCACTTACAGTACATGGAAAAGAACAAAAAGCATTCCAATTAAATATTCTGTGGCATCGGAAAGGAAAAAAGATAAATGTTGGAAGATATATTGAAGGAAGGGGGTCATACCATTTTAAACTTTTAAACAGGATATATGTCCTTATCTTCTGTGCAAATGGGCTATTTTGTTTGTCACTGTTGCTATGACTCCGGTCAAAATTAGGGGAGACTGAACATGTTTTGGCTTCTGATTGCCAGACTATCAAAACAGAATAAGATAATGGCAAAAGAGGAAAAAGGGCACTGGAAATTGAATCATAGTCTCAAGGTCAACCTTTTATATTCTGTGTACTCTGTTCTAATAACTCTTCGTTGTCTCATATGGATTTTTCATATTCTGGTAAACATTTAACAGCTAACATGAAGGACCGCATTATACTGGATTTATTTTGGCATAAAATAGGCATTATTGTGGTATTTGATAATTAATATATGTATATTAATATTCATTGCTTCTTTACCCTTGAAATTTATTTCTATTACATAAATAAAGAATCTATCAATATCAATTATTTCACTTATAGACACTTTTTTCTCCCATGATCTTAAGAAGAGACAGAATGACTGGACTGAAGTTTCCCAGTGAGCCAAGCTGGGAATTAAACTCACATATTGGTGAACTGGATAAAAATAGCCACAGGATAAACCTGCTTTCTTCTTGAAAAAAGAATAACAGAATAACAGAGTTGGAAGGGACCTTGTAGGTCTTCTAGTTCAATCCCCTGCTCAAGTAAGAGATCCTATGCCTGTAGGGGCGAACCTGTGGCACGGGTGCCAGAGGCGGCACTTGGAGCCCTCTCTGTGGGCATACGTGCTGTTGCCCTAGCCTCGCCTCCCCCACGACCCCCTCCTCTCCAGCAGCCCCCCTGAAGGAGAGTCACCCCTGAGCGTGGCCCATGTGGAGCAGGGCAGCCAAAGACATGGCAGCCAGGCAGCATAGATAAGACTTTGCCCTCACATCCCATTGTGCACAGTTGATGCTGCAGGGTGTGGGCAGAGGGCGTGACCACCATAGCACTGCTGGGTTGCCTGGGTGATCTGCGGTGGGCCCTGGAGGCGGTGAGTGGCCCTGTGGGCAGGCGGGGCGGGAGATGGGCGGAGTGGGAGGGCAGGGGGTGGAGCGGGGGTGGGGCCAGTTTTTGGGCACTCGGTCTCTAAAAGCTTCGCCATCACCATCCTATGCCATTTCTATCAAGTAATTGTCCAGTCTTTTCTTAAAAGCCACCAGTGATAAAGCACCCACTTCCTCTGAAGGCAAGCCATTCTATTGGTTGTTTTCACTGCCAGGAAATTTCTCCTTAGTGCTAGGCTGGATCTCTCCTTGATTAGTTTCCATCCATTGTTTCTTGTCTTTTCTTCTGGGGCTTTGGAAGATAGGTTGACTCTACCCTTCTGTTTGGGGTTCATAAGAGAAAGCCCATTCTGAACTCTTGCCCTTTTGGAGATAGCTATCGACAAAACTGGAATGTTATTTGATTTATCGTACCCAATTACAAGTTACAATTCTTGTAATTATGTTAAAGCATCTCTTATCCCTAGAGCTGCTCTTTCATCCTTTGCCGTTGTTTTCAATACTATGAATAAACACATATACTAGTAAATATGCCTGTGCTACTTCCTCTAATTTTATAAAGGAGTATATTTGGAGCATAAAGAGGGATGCTGGATAGAAACTAAATCTCTTAGGCACACCTCTAGCCTTATGGTACAAGTTAAGGAATACTAAATTGCTAAATATTCTATTTTTTACGATGTGTTCCAAAGGTCATGGTGCATTAATACTGGACTAGGTCATATTCCTTGCTGGACAGTATTATTTTGCTCAACATTTTCCTTCAGCCTCTGTTTTTTGAGCCCAGAGAAAAGGAAGGAAACGAAAAGGGCAACCCAAGAAGTTTCATTTTTATTTTGGCAGCTCTTCCCCCTCTTTTCCTGGCCTGCAGTCTGCCCAGGTGCAAGGGGAGGATGAGAACTTGCTGACACTGGATCTGAGGCATTTAAAATGTGAGGAAAGAGAAATTGGAGCCTGCCTGTGACTTAAATTATAACCAGAGATCAAAGGCAGGTTGTTTCTAATTCAAAGGGCGGGAATCTGTTTGGGAGTTACTGAAAATCTTTGAGGTAGGGCCATCTGGTCACACAAGAATTCTGGGCCCTTGCCTCAAGATACTGGTCTAATGTTACGTTTACTTAACATTATATTGCAAGGCGTCCCTGTCTGAGAGGTTAAGCAACTTTTTTGGATAAATATAACAAAGGTAGGGGAAGCATACATCTTTGGGCCCTCAGGCAGAAGGGATCCAGTCCCATTTCTTGTCCTTGCTTCAGCCAATCTCAGGGCTACCAGATCTGGATTGCACGGCAGCAGAGAGCAGGAAAGCATTTTCAGTATCTGAAGGAGGGAGGGAAGGAATCATTACTGTTGATATAGCCTCCTCTTCAGTTGTTATTCTTGGGTGAGCCATTGCCTCAGCTGGAGTAGCATGTGTTGGCAGCAGAGCCTTCACAGACTCGGGCAGCTTACTCAGAGCCCTTCCTCAGATCTTCTCCTCGTTCTTCCTGATTGTCAAAAGATGAAGGACTGCAAAAATCTAGATGGCAACAAACAGAGAAATGGAAAAATAATCCATTTTAAGGTAAAGATGGACAGGCTCCTCAGAGCTGCACAAGGCCCTGAAGATACAGCTTGCTCTTATAATCACAATTGTTGAAAACTATCAGTACACTTTCCTGTTCTTTTGAGATTGGAAGCATAAAAACTGTAGTAGATAGCCTAAAACACAGTCTGAACACAGTTTAAAAAAAAACATAAAAAGACACTCTTTCAAATCTAAGGAGAAACAAGAGTAATTCTTGGCCCTCCTCATCTTGTATTATTAGGACTAGCCTGTAAAAAACACCAGTCAGTCACTAGGGGACAACAAAGAGTATTTCCTGTACTATACTTATTTGGTGCCATCTAGTGGTCATCAGCAGGTATACAACTGCAATCTGGTAATCTTAGTAATCATTGACCCTCCCAGTATGACCTTTTCCCACTCACAAAATCAACCATGGCACCAAGATATTTCCCACCTATGTTTTAAAGGCTAAGAAATAATAATAAATCAAATTCTCTTTCCAAACTGGCTTACACTAACCAGCTCCATGTGGATCTTCTTTTCTTTAGGCAAACCGTAATGTCAACATCCAGCATTGCAGACTTTCCCTCATTTTGTGGTGATGTTTGCAAAACTGCTCATGCTGAATTTCTAGATGTTAGGTAGGGCTAAACAGTCTCCGTCAGAATAAAGGCAGCAATCTGTGCTTTGTCAAAATGAGGGAAAGTGGAAACTGTTGAATGTTTTAAAACTAATTTTACTCATAGTAATGTTTCCACCTTTCCTCCAGCACAAAACCCTTTTAAAGACATTGGGAAAGAAACCACCTTGTTTTAGGACATATTTTCCAATGACACAATCAACTTTTCTTCAAACATATCTGTATATAAATCACTGTGATATTTTTAAGCCAGTTATACAGAAGGATGGAAATAAACATGTGTCTTTCTTCTTGAACTTGTTAATACTATTCAGGCAGTCCTTCTGCCACTTCATTCTTCAACTGATTTAAATTCTTTCCCAGTGAGTGAATGTGATAATGTCTATTTCTAATCCAACAGCAAGGAAGACTTATTTAATGCTGTAAAACTTACTTTAAAAAATTCAGAATGCTAGGCTGGGAGTGAGTCATTAGGTTTCTCCCTTTTGTAACTCTGATATTCTGGCTGGTCATCCAAAGACCTGTCTTGATAATTTATTTCTTGGCAACAAAGCGGCAGATCCATAAAATGGGAGAAAATGAGTCATGCTTGGAATTTAAAAGGATAGCTCAAGTGAGTAGGTTAGCTTGCTCCATTCTGGCATCCTCCAGATGCGTTGGGACTTAAACCTCCAAAATTCCCAGCCAGGATACATGGGGTGCCAGTTGGACTTACTTATATAACTTACTTATTCACTCACTTACTCACTCACTCACTCACTCTATTTATTTATTTATCTATCAATCAATCAATCAATCAATCACCATATAATAAAAACCCACCTCCCATGGCAACAATACAATCTAATCAATCACCTAATTGACTCTGTCTCCATTCATGGTTCCCACATTTTTAACGCCTTTTGGAAGAGCAACAGGGTGAGGGTCAAACATACCTTGAGATACATGGAGAAGGATATACATAGCTAGTAAGAAGTTATAATTAAAGCGCTTTCCTGGAAATTCTAGATGGATCTTAAAAACTAATTGGCTAATTTGGAGCTAGTCTCAATCTCTCAGATTCCAGATTGGTTAGTGTAGGAAAAAAACTGGAGAAGAAAGTGTTATGTATATTTCCTTGAGCTCCTAAATGAAAGTCATCATATAAACCTAACAAATAGTCAAATACCCATAAAAACTCATGGGTAGATAATATGGTCTTTTAAATTACACTAATTAATTTTCACAGAAAAAAATATTTGCTCCTGCTTTTTAATTAGTCCTAAATACCATCAATTGACTTTTTCCTAGAGTGCAATCCTTCACTCTGTTTGATGACTTGGATGACGAAGTGGAAGGAATCAAGATGCTGTAAGACTGGGTGAGAGGAGGAAATTGTAGAAAATTGAAAAACATCAAATAATTTTCATAGGTTAAACTAGAGGATGGACTGAAAATAGCAATTAAAATTAAATTTAAACAGGGAGGCATGCATGTTAATCAAGAAAATAGTTGCATAGGTATAAGATAGATATTATTTTGTTTAGCAATAATACATGAGGAAAATGGTCTTGGAATTATAAGTGCCAGGGGTGTTCCAACTGGAAAAAAAAGCCAAACATGATTTTATACTACATCAATAGAGGTATCAATGGCATCACAAGAACTCGAGTGCAATTCAAAGAAATCTTGTAGTGATCAGACACATACAGTTGCTGAAAGAGATAAGCAGTAAGGCTGTGCACCTCACAAACATGACCTGGAAAAAAGTATTTCTAGCTTGGTAAGAAGACAATATCAAAAAGGACATTTAAATTGGCATCTTTTTTGGGCTCATGCGGGAGTCTTTAAAAAAAAAGACTCAGCCTTTTTCATGCTCATATGAGCACCAAAACACTCTGAGACAGATCAAAGTGGTGATCTGTTGGGTTAAGGAAGCTTTAATTTAGGTTCCTGTATTGAGCCGATGGCTGGGCTTCATGGCTTTAGAAGTCCTGCCAAAGATTCTGTGATTCCCCATATTCTTTTAATTTCATATTTTGCAGGGGTATTTGAAATATACACTTATAAAGGTAGTATAAAAGGAGGTTTAAGCTTCCACTTCTAGCTGAAACATTGACAAACATTACTCCACCTTTCTTGAATAGCATTTATCAACATATCAACTACTATTAGCATTAATATTGTAAATGGAAGTATGGAATGATTTACATCAGAATATGACCTGGGAATTATGGGCTGTATTGCAATCCCAGTAAATTACCGAACATCCTGGTACACTGCAATATTTCAATGATTACAGAAAAGCAAAGCTGCATGTTTTTCTTTCCACTGGGGGGAAAGAGCAGTTTGAAATGGCTACTGTGCTCTCAGAATCTGTTCATTTGCCAAACGATGATGATGCATCTTTAAAAATAATAATTAAGTTGTACGATGCTTCCCGAGGTGATCTGAAAGAATCTCAGATCACAAAACAGAATGTTGTCTTTCTGAAGCTTCTGCTGTTTGTACTATATCATACATGCACAGCTTGTTTTTTATTTATTAAAAGAAAAGAATTCCCCTAATTTTTATAATACAAGCTATTAGTTGAAGTCCTTTAAATGTCCAAGTTCATCACCATCACCATCATCTGACTTGATTCCTACAACAAAATATGAAATAAGAGAAATGCTGGGGAGGGTAATGTAAAGCATTTTCAGGTTTACAGTGAATTTTTATAATCCTTAAGGATTAATCAGTTTGCTTCTTTTGATGTTGTAAGGAGAGCTCCAGATAACATCAGTTTGGCTCTTATAGCAGTAGCACTTAGACTTATATACCACTTCACAGTGCTTTACAACCCTCTCTAAGCAGTTTACAGAGTCAGCATATTGCCCCCAACAATCTGGATCCTCATTTTACCGATCTTGGAAGGATGGAAGGCAGAGTCAACCTTGAGCTGGTCAGGATTGAACTCCTGGAGTGAGCAGTGAGTTAACCTGCAGTGCTGCATTCTAACCACTGGGCCACCACAGCTTAATGCTTCTTGCCCACTTTTACAGACAGCATTTACACCACACAAAACACAGATTTTTTTTAAAAAAAACAACACTCCTACAACAATGTGTAGACAAAGTTCAGGAAGGAAGTGCTATAAATCCAAAGATTTTCATTAGCTTCCAATGCTTTACTCTGCTCTCACTGTTCAGTTCTCATTGCCTTCAAAACAAAAATTACACTATATATAGGACAGGGAGCCACAGTCAGAAGGGAACATAGTGAAACAGCCTGGCTCTAAGTCATCAAAAGATTGAGACGAAACTGCATGTTCTTTCTTTATGTATTCAGCTTATTTGCTGGATATATATGGAGCCCAGTTTGTGTTTTTCTTTATGACACTCCAGAGAGGTGAAAGCTGGACTTTGAAGAAGCAGGATAGAAAGAATATTGATACATTTGTACTTTGATGTTGGAGAAGAGTGCTAGGAATATCATGAATAGCTAACCAAACAAACAAACAAACAAACAAACAGAGGGTTTATAGAACAAATAAAATGTTATAAAGTTTGGGGGAAAAAAGAGTTCTCAACTGAGGTTCCAATGAATGAACTCAAATAATTTTATCCAGACACATTATGTGAAGACCTAGCTCTCTAGAGAAGGTTCTAATGCTAGGAAAGGTGAGAGGAAAGACAAGAGGTTGACCCAGCAGGAGGGTGAATAGACTATATTACAGCAGTGATGAGATTGGAAGATCTGAAGAGCCAGACTCAGAACAGATCATCTATGTTCTATCTGTATGGTTTAGCAACTCCTAGCAGAGTTGATACTGATTTGGTGGCACATAAGACCAGTAAGACCACACCTGGAATACTGCAGCCAATTTGGGTCATCATACACAAAAAAGATGTTGAGAGTTTGGAAAAAATTCAGAGAAGAGCAACTAAGATGATCAAAGGCTTGGAGATTAAAACATATCAAGAACGGCTGCAGGACTTGGGTTTGGCTAGTCTAAAGAAAAGAAGAAATAGGGGAGACAGTGTTCCAGTATTTGAGGGGCTGCCACAAAGAAGAGGGAGTCACGTTATTCTCCAAACCACCAGAGGGCAGGACAAGAAGCAATGGATGGAAACTGATCAAAGACAGAAGCAACCTGGAATTAAGGAGAAACTTCCTGACAGTGAGGACAATTAACCAGTGGAACAGCTTGCCTCCAGAAATCGTGGGTGCTCCATCACTGGAGATTTTTAAGAAGAGGCTAGACAGTCACTTGTCTGAGATGATATAGGTCCTCCTGCTTGAGCAGGGGGCTTGACTAGAAGACTTCCAAAGTCCTTCCAGCTCTATTCTATAATCACTCAATCAAAATTAATAGGCTATGTAGAAATAATGTCACACTATCAGAGACATGCTATATTACAGTGGAATCAATAATGAGCCAGATAGATTAAAAAAAAATCTATATCAAAATGTTTCCACATGCTTGTTGGTTCAATCCTTATAATACTCTCACAAAGTAAACCTAACTGTGCCTTTTCTGGGAGACTAGCATATTTCCAGGGACTTGGATTTTGCAAACTCTGAACTAATTAATCAGAAATTAGTCAAACTAGCAATAGCATTTAGTCTTATATACTGCTTCACAGTGCTTTACAGCCCTCTCTAAGCCGTTTACAGAGTCAGCATATTGCCCCCAACAATCTGGGTCCTCATTTTAGTGACCTCAGAAGGATGGAAGGACTAAGTCAACCTTGAGCCGATGAGAATTGAACTGCCGAATTGCAGGCAGCCAGCAGTCATCAGAATTAGCCTGCAATGCAGCATTCTAACCACTGGGCCACCATGGCTCTCAAAAGATGGTGATATTAAGACAAGGAATAACCAGACCAAAATACCCAATCAGCCAGTAAATTCATTGGGTTGCCATAAAGCAAATCTAATTTATTAGTCAAACTTCACAAGGCTGCTGTGTAGATAAAATGGAGATGTGAATCCTGAATAGATATAACAATTTAGAAGATCTTACATTGCAAATAGATGAGATGAGGGTTA